AAAAGATATGTTGATTTGTGGGATGTGTTATTTGCTTTGTGACAATTGGATTATCTTTCTTTCCCTGTCAGGTTTGGTTTCCTCCTCCTTTTCTTTACCTGTTTGCCTTTTGGCTGCGTGCAAGTGGGTCCTTGTGACACACGGGGATGGGGGCAGCCAGCGCTCAACCTACATCCACGTGGCTGGCCTTGTACGTAAGAGGTGATGAACAGGTGGGGCTTACCTTCCTTCCTTCCTTGTTTTGCCTTTTTCCGCCTTCCTAACTTTTTTTCTTTCCCTTCCTTGTTCTGCTTTCCCTTCCTTGTTTTGATTTTTCCGCCTTTGCGCTCCGATTCACAGTGTGACAATATTTATATATACATTTTTTTTTTCTTTGCTCATCTTATTTCTTCTTCTACTTCACATGCTCATGCTCTTAGTCAATAGTTCTGTGACAATATATATATCAGCCTCCTGATGAGTCGGTGAAACTCCGACGAAACAGTTTGTCACAGCCCCTCGTTTGTTGTCCTCTTCTCCCTCTCTGCCTACGGTTTACCGGGCAGTTCTATTTGACGATATATATACACGAGGATGGGGGCAGCCAGCGCTCAACCTGTCATCCACGTGGCTGGCCTTGTACGTAAGAGGTTATGAACAGGTGGAGCTTTCCTTACCTCTTCCCCCTCCCCTTTTTTTCCTTTTCCTTTTTTCTTTTCCCTTTTTTGCGCTCTGATTCACAATGTGACAACATATATATATATATATATATCGTCACAAACAGAACTGCCCGGTAAACCGTAGGCAGAGAGAGAGAAGAGGACAACAAACGAGGGGCTGTGACAAACTGTTTCATCGGAGTTTCACCGACTCATCAGGAGGTTGAACCCTCAACAGTCTGCACAATCCCCTCACTGTATATTGTCACACTGTGAATCAGAGCGCGAAGGCGAAAAAAAAACAAAACAAGGAAAGGGAAAGAAGCAAGGAAGGAAAGCCCCACCTGTTCATCACCTCTTACGTACAAGGCCAGGCACGTGAATGACAGGTTGAGCGCTGGTTGCCCCCATCCCCGTGTGTCACAAGGACCCACTTGCATGCAACCAAAAGGCAAAGAGGTAAAGAAAAGGACGAGGAAACCAGACGTTATAGAGGCAAGAGAAAGAGAAAGGTCAAAGAAAAGACAAAGAAAGAAAGCAAATGACACATCCCACAGATAAACCAATTGTCACTGTCACTACAAAGTTCAACATATTTTTTTCTTTTTTTCTTTTTTCTTTTTTCTTTTCTCCAGAAATTGTACTTTTTGTCTTTCTTTCTTTTATCTGTTCTACAATTAGTGTTGCTCCTGATCGCTTAATTCTATTGACCAGTCAGGAAGAGGAGCCCCCACCCCGGCAGATAGGACAGTCACGCTGAGGATGACGTGGATGTTCACAAGGATACCCAAGGAGAGCTACTTCGGCACAACATTCAACAAGACGACTAGCACGGACCATCCCATCAAAAAATCATGACAAAGGACATGCTGTTCACATGTCAAGAAAACAGCAGGACGTTCATCACAGTGCGGCATCATGCAGTCCTGATAGCGTCCTTGAGCACAAAAGGGACAATGAATATCTGGGTGATAGGGATGTGTACAATGAGGAAATGTTGGACACCCTTCAACACAAACGGCGGCGGCTGCAATAGATTGATAATGTTGATGGCATAGGTGATGAATATATATATATATACATATATATATATATATCGTCAAACAGAGCTTCCCGGTAAACCGAAGGCAGAGAGGGAGAAGAGGACAACGAATGAGGTGTTGTGACAAACTGTTTCGTTCGAGTATTTCGTTAAATCCTAACTTCTTCACATGACGAAATTGACATTTTATTTGT